GGGCGGGGGGGGAATAAAAGAGCTGAAAGCAGCCTCTGGGTGGCTGCACTGGCAGAGAGCAAGGCTGCCTGAAGTCTGCAGTTACTATGAGCAAGGCTTTTCTTTTTTTTTTTTTTTGTTTGCATAAACCCTGCAGGCGCTCAAAGCCTCTGAAAGAGGCTATGGGCAAGTGAAACCTGGGAAAAGCCTAGCAAGCCAGAGACATGAAACCAGTGAAAAGCTGAGTGGCAGTTTACTGAACTCTGTTTCTGTTGCATCTCTTACAAAGCTCATGGTGGTGGTGGTGCTATCAACAAACTCAGCTGCGGCAGAGGTAAGAACCCTGTAAAGTGGGTCCTTGGCTAAGGCCAGCAGCAAAAATAAGTGGCTGGTTTGGGGTGCCTGACCAAACATCCCTAGCTCTGCTCTGCACAGAAGCTACCCATAACAGTGCACATACTAGTAGTGTTGATAAATATTAATGGGGCCAGAGGAAGTCAGAAATCAAAACTACCTAGTGCCACACAAAGGTAATCTACTTGCAAGTTAAGGAAACAGTCCTGTGGACATAAAACTTATCACATTTCACTCTGTTTACATCCTGTCATCTTAGCCAAAAGATCAAGATCACGTGATTAGTGTCTTGATGATAGATTAGCCAAGGCTTTGGGCTGAAGAAATTCTACCTTGTTTGTCTGTACATACTTCAGAATTCATGATCCTGGTTTGCAATAGTTAACTGTCCCTTCCTATCAATTCATTTCTTCCAAAGGATTACATACTGACAAGGGACTTGCCCCTTCTATTATCTCTTCTTGGTTTTAGGTCCAGTCAATATAGGTTTTTACTCGAGTGATTTTTTTGAAGTAGCGTTTCTGCCATTTGTCCACTACGCTTCTACCATACACTCTGTAGACCAGGTCCCTGCTCAAGGCAGGAACATCTCTGAATAAAGCATCCCAGCAAGTGTGTCAATATACTAAAATGTCCACTAATGCAATGGGTAGTATACATGCTAATAACCTATGATGTTATTTACACCATTAGGTCAGGTTTCTTGAAGGAGTGTTAGGACTCAATTTTCAGTGAAGTTCAGTGGGATCTAGGTGTCTGTCTGGGAATTTTGCAGAGGAGAGTAAGATTTTATTGTTGCCAAGCACTGTGTTACTATCTCATTTTTAGGCCCAATACCATTTTCAATCATGGCCTTACAAGCTTGCTGAAACCAATATGCAACACCAATGTTAAAGGGGGAAAGAATTTGCACCTTCCTTGTAACACCCCACCAACACACGTATACCATTGTGAAATTGTACACGCAGCTTGCTCAAAGAGTGTGACACATTAATATTTCTTTTGACTTCTATTCTATTTCACTGTGTTCTTCCTCCTCCAGCCTTTCGAAAACTGTCCGATTTTATGTGCTATGCAATTAGATATGAGGAAGTTCTTTTTAAAAAGAAAATCAGTTTCCTGAAAACATTGCAATGAAATATTCAAGACACTGAAAAACATAATCTGATGTGGTGGTAATGAATTTTAGCCAATTCTGGTGCAAAGCCATTCAAATAGCTTTAAAAATGCATAAATGTCGTTATTCATATAGGCAGTGGTTCTTGTCATTACTACATACCAAGAAATATCAGGAGCACGCCCACTGCAACTTGAAGTACAAGTGACATGCTGATGAGAACAATGAGTGGGACGTAGAATGAGAAAGAGGGTCCTTGTTCCATCACTGCTTTTAACTGGGATGCATTGGCCATCAGCAGAGCAATATCCAGCATGCTTTCTGCAGCACTCTTCTTATTGGCATAGTGATTAATGTTCATAGGTCCATTTCTCTGCAGCCACTGTTGTACTCTCTATTGAAAGTAAAAAATATTCTAATTATAAATATATCTAGTTTAACAAGCTAGAGATGACTTGGAGCCCAGGAACAATCTCACTAATAATGCTGCTGTTCTCTGTACTGCTCTTATTCTATCTCTACTCTCATAGCTACCCACATCTTCTAACAAACAGGCGGTACTTCATATCAGCTTAGTCAGACTTGTACAAGATGATTAACTTGCAAATATGCTTAGAATTAGGGAACTGGGAAATGTACTATGGGAGAAGTTGAGTAAACAAATGGATTTTAGCACGTCAATATCAAGGCTCTACTTCAAATGCCCATGGTATACTGGATAAACTGAGGAGGAGAAGTAAGTTAGATCAAAATCAAGTTAGCCTAACAAACATCTGTACATGTTCTGAGTGCAGCCCCAGAGCTGGGAAAGCCCAGCTGCTCACCCTAGCCCTTGGGCTATGCTCTTCCTCCCCTTCCACCACCCCTGACTTAGCTATTTTTAGCCCCCTGAACTCCCAACCTTTCCCCTGCTAGATTTATTTATTGGGAAACCATGGAAGTTCTAGGTT